TCTTCCTATTTCACATTACCTATTATACCTTTTAGTCCTTATTTACACTTTCAGTTTCTCACACTAGAGAAACTATTCGGTATTTACACGTGTGTCCTATTTATATCAAAAAAGTATGAATTATTTACATGCACTCAGCCCTATTTCCTGATGAAGTATTGCATTAATTTCTTCAATAGAATACTTCTAGCTAAGAACTGACATCATCTTTGCCATTTAGTTGATCTTTAACAACGAAATGGTAATTTTTAGTTTAGTCACTAGATGGCAGTATTTTACATAATGCTGAGAAAACTAAATTTGCTGTTTCATATTAATAGCGTTGAAAATGTTTTAATCTGCCTTCTCCCTCTTACTCATCTTCACAAGAAAGCATGGTTCTTCATCAGTGATCCCCTTTCCCTTATGTTGGAAATTGAAGTTTCCTCAAGGTTATGTGAAACGCTAAGCAAACAGTCTTTCTTAAAGATTCCTTCATACGCTTTTCCACAGCTCTGTGACTGTGAGGAAATATTTTCATAATTAGCCTCTCACTTACTTGTATGTCTGCTGGTTGAACATATTTATGAAGTCAGTTATTTCACTCCCCGGGCCTCCCTGTAACAGTGAGTGCATTGGCATTCCCGTTACCCAGCCTTTGGGACAGGGCAGACCAGGGTAGACAAGGCAGTTCATTTCAGCACCAGGCAGAACAAATACAAAAAGTAGGGGACTGGTCCAGTATTTGAATTCTTTATGTGAAAAAAAATGCATGAATAGTTTATGTGAGAAGTAGGAAATTTTAATTCAGTATTGGCTGTTAGTAGGTGAAACCAAGCAAGTAACTTGCCAGTTATTTTCTTCCATTTCCCAATTTCCTCGTCCTTGAAAAGTATTTATATCATATAAAAATAGGCTGCTTATATTAAGCATATCTTACGCTTATGATTACCATTTTATAAGTTAAAAGGTTGAAAGTGTATACTCAGTTTATTTTTGCCAACTTTTAATGTTTCACCCTACACATATGGGCAGGTAGAGATAATGAGTGTAATTTGTGTTGTTATATTTTTGAACATACATCTCTCTTTTTTTTTCTTTTTTTTTTGGTACTGGGGATTGAACTCGGGACCTTGCGGTTTTGAGGCAGGAGGCAGAACCACTGAGCTAAATCCCTGGCCCCCGAACACACATCTCTTAATCTTCTGAAACAGCTCCAAGAACACATGAGAATCTACTACATCCATAAATACTGTAAAATATCAGTGTTCTTGAAAGGAGAGTACTCTTCATAAAAGGTGGCAGATAGCAACATGTTTTTTCGCCTTTGGAGATGCAGATGAATAAACTTACACCTTCGAGTTTTCTGAGAGCAGAAAGTGCTGCAGGGACACTGTGCCTGAGGTGACAAAACATTTCTAAGTGAATGTGGTTTATCACTAACCTATATTTTTTGTTAATTGTCGTCCCTCCTGCTCCTGACTTTTGGTGTATTTTTTTAAAAATGAAGAACATATTTAGAAATGCAGCCTTCTTTCACCGCACTCTTTATTATATTTCTCTAATTCCCCTACCCCCTCCACCCAGGTCCGAGTCTCCCAAGGCAAAGAGCCTGCTCACCTGCTGAGTTTGTTCAAAGACAAACCACTCATTGTTTACAAGAATGGGACATCCAAGAAAGGCGGACAGGCCCCGGCTCCGCCTGTGCGCCTCTTTCAAGTCCGGAGAAACCTGGCATCTGTTACCAGGATTGTGGAGGTACCGTCACTGTCGCCCACTCAGGAAAGTGTGCCCCAGTTAATGCATGTCCCCTCAGCCATCAGCAAACGCTGGCCGGTCCCCTTCATTTCTATAATTAATCCACTGTTCACATGAAATAAAAATCACTAAACGCCAGGAGAGTTGAATGAAAAGTTAAACTCCAGACACCAGCTTCTTACATTTTTCAACTTCCCTGGACCCAAACCAATGAATTTTAAGGATCTTAAAACAAATCATGCTCTCAAATCAGGCACAAGGCAGTCCCGAGAAGCCTGGGGAAAGGGCCTGTGTGTCCGAGCACTCGGGGGTCTGCGAAGGGAGGCCCTGGTGTGCACAGGGGTGACGTGTGGGATGCAGACTCGGCCGCACTGAACCCATCCGACCATATCTCATCTCCTGTCACCTCTTGTCACTGTTGGAACCCAGATCTTCCAAATCATGCCCAGCTGCCCTGCCCGTCCCCAGACCTGGAGCTATGGCCCGGCCCTTCCCTCTGCACAGGCAGAGCCTGTGAGACCCAGGCAGTGTGTGTCCCTCCATCCCCACGTCTTCTCCATGCCTCCCTCCCTGTAGTCTTCTCGCTCCAGGTCTGTCCTGTGAGAACGTGGGTCCCCCACAGCCCTGTCAGTGGAAGTTGTGTTCCCCCAGTGCCCACTTCCAGGGCCCTGGGTGGGGCTGGGCACTGTCCTTGCTCACCCGGGGCTCTTTGGTTTCTGTCCTTTTCGTCTGACTCTCCCTGCTCTGCCAGCCCTCTTGTGGCACCATCTGTGGAGCTGTGGGCCCCTCCTCCTTTACGTTTTGAGTATTCCAGCCATTGGCTCACTATCACCTTCCCTCTGGCCTCTCCCTTCCAATAATCTTTTCATCTCACACTTGCATGGTCCTCTGATAAATCCTGCCTTTGATAGTAAAAAAACTACAGCCCCTCAGAAATCTGTTTAGTCATCTGGTCCCTGACAACCATCTCCTATTCTTTGGCTCCTTTATCCCAAGATGCACATTCTGGCAATTCTCCAGGCCCACGGCTGCATCTTCACCCCTCTCCACCCTTCACACCCTTCAGGTCCATCCCTGTCCTGAAGTCTCTAGCACCTCCCTCCCTCCCTCCCTCTCGGTAATTCTGATTCAGAGTTTGCAGAGAAGCCAAGCATAATCATACGTGGTCACCTTATCTCCCACCCTGCTGTTTCACCGACTTGTCTGCATTTTCTTCCCCTTCCATTAATGAAATGTAAAATTTTGAAAAAGTTAATACTCATATTGAGTAATTTACATATAATCAAGTATTTTATTAATGTCAATTTAATTAATATCTATAATCAAATTAATTCAATATCTATAAATCAGTAATAAATAATATCTTTTATAAAGTGACCTGTCACTTTATAAATAAATTTCACCGTAAATGTCACTTTACTCAATAAATAATTGAGTAAATGTTTATTACATAGAATACAAACTATGGCTCCCGTCTAAGGCCAAATTCCTCCCACCACCAACCTCTGTCCAGGATTCCCTCCTTTCCTGAGGACTTTTCTAGATTGCTCTCCATGCATTCATTCATCCTGATTGCAGGCGACAGTCTCCTTTCTCTTCTCTATCACTGATTTATTCTTGTATCCTTGGTCATTTACTTTGAAATTCATAGATGTCTTTAAAAAAAGTCATTTCTTTCAAAACTGTGTCTTGACCCCGCCCTTGACCTTCTCCAGTGACCCTCATTTTTCTCTCCTCTTAAGATCAGAGGTCCTTGAAAACGTCACTCACTCCCTGGCCACGGTTTTGAGCCTCCTGTTCTCCCCAGAGCCAGTCAGTGAGTGGTCTGGCTTTCATCTGGCTGGCCAGTGCCCGCCTCTTCACACAAAGGTCACTTCTCTGTCTTGTTTTTCCTCATTTCCCACTAGCATCGGCCATAGTCAACCTTCACTGTTTCATTGAATGCCTTTTCCCCACGGGGGGTTCACAGCACACACTCCCTGTGATTGCTTCCAAACTGCCCTCCTTCCTTCTGGAGGCTGCTTTCCCAGTTTCCCTCTGCTTGGCCTCCAGGCAGCGAGTGCCCCAAGGTTCAGTCTTGTCCCTTTTCACGGTGGTCTCCTTCAGTCCGGGGTTTAGTGATGGCTTGTGTGCTGATCTCATCCAGAAGGGAAGATCAGATTCCAATTTGTTCAATTACGAAGAATTAAAAATAAACCTATGAAATCGACAGTAAAACTCTCACTGTGGACCCTTCCAGATGATTTCAGATGAAAGACGCCCCTGGACTTTGCCCTGTGACCCTCTTGGTCTCTTTCCCAGCTGCCGTTCTTTTGTGGACACCAGCAACCAAATGCGAAGCGTAGCCTTATTTCCTACCTGTCTCCTTAACATTCGCAGCCTTTGCAGAATGCACTGGCCAGGATCATTTCATACAGCTTTCTGTCTCCACCACCCGATAGGCTAATGCTTTCTTTAAAATTTTTTTTTTTAATTTTTAAAATTTTTATTAGTGCATGGTTGCAGGACATAATGATTACATTCCTCACAGGGAGTTGGTACATGGACATAACACATCTTAATTCAGTGTTCAACCTCCTTCCTCCTGTTGTGTCTCATCTCTGGGTCCCTCTCCATCTACAAAAGATTCATCTCCAGTTTTTAAAAATTTTTTTCATGCCCTTGCCTCTTGTTCCCCTTCCCAATGGAAAAAGTTTTCCTACTTCCTCTTAGGATTTCACTCTTTGTTTATAAAGCTTCCGATCTCCCTCCCTGATCCACACCAGTCCAGGCACTGATCTCGTTACCTTCTCTGTCATCCTGGCTCTTTCCTCTGGACCAAGAAGGGGACACATGGGTTAGAAATCGGAAGTCCTGAAAGCCAGAGCCTGCTCTTGTCATTGTTCATCATCTAATCTCACGGGTTCCTGTACAGAGTGTGGTGTCAAGGACTTAGGACCCCTTCCCCAAATGTCACCAACCCCTGGGGCATTTGCGAAGGCTCCAACAGCCATTCCTTGTTGTTGCAGCCATTCCTTCTCATCACTAAAGTGTGCTGCTGTCTGAGAGGGGCTGGGTGGCCAAGACAGAGACCGAGATGCTCCTTCTCCATCAATTCACATGCCATAGGGCTGTCCCAGTGCAGCCCCGGGTTAATTTCCTGGGGCAGAGCAGAGGATGTGCATGTTTGTTACAGTCACAGCTTCTGGAAATATTTATTGAGGAAGGAGCCACAATGAATTTCAATCATTGGGTTATTTTTCTTCATGCTCTAGGTTGATGTTGATGCAGATTCATTGAATTCCAATGATGCCTTTGTTCTGAAACTGCCCCGCAATGCTGGCTACACCTGGGTAGGAAAAGGTGCCAGCCAGGAGGAGGAGAAGGGAGCAGAGTATGTGGCAAATGTTCTGGGGTGCAGCACTGCAAGGATTCAGGAAGGCAAGGAGCCAGGTGTGTGCTGTGGGGTCAGAACTGACATTTGCTGGGCTTGCTGCTCGCTGTTCTTTGTGAAGGGTCTTTGCGGGATGGTCAAAGAGGGTTAAGGCCCCTTCCGTTGGTTGCCAGAGTGAATGATGGTACCTGGTACATTTAAGTAACTTCTTATCATTGAAGTTAAGGTGAGATAATATTATTGGCAATATAAAACAGTACCACCACATGCTCCTGAATATTCATTGAGTAACTCCGTGTTTTCTGTAGAGGAGTTTTGGACCTCCCTCGGAGGGAAGAAAGAATACCAGACCTCGCCACTGCTGGAAACGCAGGCTGAAGACCATCCGCCCCGGCTCTATGGCTGCTCCAACAAAAGCGGAAGGTTCACTGTGAGTGTCTTAAGAAGCAGTGCAGAAGGAAGGAGACCCAGAGAAGGAGGGAGGCGGGAGACAGGGGAAGCAGATGAAGGAAGCATGAAGATGTGTTATGTACATGTACCAACTCCCCATGATGAATGCAGTCATCACCCACTGTGAACATGAACTAATAAAAGCTAAAATTAGAAAAAAGAAGCTGTGGGATAGAACCTAATGACACAGAGAGGCATTCTACGTCAGCTCTGATCCTCTGCAGCCACAGGCAGCTGAGATATTAGGTTCAGCTGACCTGCAAACCACAGTGATAGAATCTTTGCTCCCTGTAGCGTAGTCTGAGGGTCAATGGTGCAATGGATGTGAAAGCATTAAGCATATTGAAAAGTAGTATATAAGTCAAGGATTTCTTACAGTAGCTACTGTACATCTATGTCAGCATTTGGCAGCTGCTGGACAAATTATAAATGATTGGATTTGCTAGTTTAACAATTAGATACTTTCTGTTGAGCAGCAGTCATTTCTTTTTTTTTTTCTTAATTTCTTTTATTGGTACATTTTAGGGATACAGTTCGTTTACATTTATCATTGGGTGTTTGTACCTGTACATGATGCATCTTGTTTCTTATTTTTTCCCTATAACCTGTGCGCCCTTCACCCCTCTACCCTTCCCTATTTACATAGACTTCATTTCCATTTTTTTTCTTTTCTCATAGTTTTCCCTTTCCCTCCTTTCCCCTTTCCCTCCCTTCACCCCTTCTTCTTTGGACCTTTTTTCCTATTTCAAATGATCAATTATTCATTTTAATCATTTTAACCCTTGTTTACACTATCAGTTTCTCACACTAGAGAAACTATTCGGTATTTACACGTGTGTCCTATTTCACTTAAGAGTATGGCCTCGATATGCATCCATTTAGCTATAAATGACTCTAATCTTTCGTTCTTTATGGCTGAGTATTACTCCATTTTATAAAAAACCCACATTTTCTTTATCCAGTTTCCAATTGGGCTGCTTCCAAGCTTTAGCTTTTACAAACTGTTTCGCTCTGAACATGGGTGCACATATATCGCTGTGGTATGATTCTTTTAATTCTTTTGGGAAGATACCCCGCAGGGGAATAGCTGGGTCAAATGGGACCTCTAACCCTAGTTCTCTGAGGTGTCTCCATACTGATTTCCACAGTGGTTGCACCAGTCTGCACTCCCACCAACAATGGAGAAGGGTTCCTTTCTCCCCACACCCCCGCCAGCATTTGTTATTGGTTGATTTCTTGATAGCAGCCATTCTTTGTGCGGTGAGGTGGAATCTCAGTGTTGTTTTCATCTGCATCTCTCAAATGACCAGATGTTGAACATTTTTTCAAATGTTTATTTGCTGCTTTTTCTTCTTTGTCTGAGAAATGTCTGTTCATTTCAGATGCCCATTTTTGAATTGGGTCTTTGAATTTGGGGGGGGTCTGATTTTTTTCAATTCTTTATATATTCTAGATAATAGTCCTTTGTCTGAGGTACAGCTGCTAAAAAGTTTTTCCCACATTGTAGGTTTTCTGTTAGCTCTGTTGGTGGTTTCTTTTGCAGGAGCAGCAGTCATTTCTCATCTAACTGTTGGTTTTACATTTCACTTTGCCAGGGGAATATAAACTTTCTCCATGTTGATAGAATGAAAGACATTATGGAACTATTAGGATCATTGGACAGAATCACAGAAAGCTACATATGCCACCTACAAATTAACAGGAATGCTTTATTTTGTCATTTACAGGCTTCAAATTCTAGGCAATTAAAAGTAAAACTAGAAGGATCTGTGTAAATGTCTTATTTTGGGCCGCTGTAATCAACTTACCATAGACAGAGTGGTTTAAACATTAAGCATTTATTCCTCACAGCTCTGAAGGCTAGAAAGTCCCAGGTCAGGGCTCCAGCAGCGCTGCTGTCTGGTGAGGGCCCACTTCTTGCCTCCCTGTGTCCTCACCTGGCCAGGAGAGCGAACTCGAGTCTCTCCTCTGCCTTTGACTACTGTCTTCATGGGGCTCCGACCTTGGGAGCTCCACTGAACCTAATCCTCTCTCAGAGGTCCTGGCTGATCCTGTCCACTGGGGTTATGGCCTCAATCTATGGATTTTGGGGGGATACAAACTCACAGTCCATGGCTACATAAGACTGATTTTGTATTGAGCTCCAAAATATCATCCTGGGCTACAGCCCCTCATCTCCATGTAACCAGAAACATCTGCTATTTCTGACATAGAAGGGTTTTGTGTAAACTTAAAAGATGAATTCCTTTATCTGTATAAAATTTGACCTACGCATCTATTCAGCGTGTCCTGGGGAATACAAGCTTAATTTTCAACATGCACACAAGGAAGTGTCCTATGTACTTTCCCAGGTACATTTAATGCTAGAAATAAAAAAGCTCTGAAGAAGAAACTGTCCATGTACAAATCACTCTTGAATTTTATAATTTTTTAAAACTTTAGTTTGATCTAAAAATTAAAGTCTGAATAGTAGTGATACTCAGTTATTGAGCACCATAGTTTGTTACTTTTCAGGAAATCCCTGTACTTGCTGCATTTTATAAACTTGCCATAAGAAAAATCTACAATTTTATTATTTTGACTATTAATTGTATATTGCATCTAAACAACGTCATTATTGGCATATGTTTCTACAATTTCTTATCCATATTATGTACTAATATTGCTATAAATTAATCTTTGCAAGGAAGATATATTTTATTTTATGTTTTGGTGCTGGGGATCAAACTCGGGTCCTTGTGCTTGCGCAGCAGGCGGCGGAACCACTGAGCTAAATCCCTGGCCCAGGAAGATATATTCAAAAAAATAAGTATCTAGGCTTTGTTCTCAGTGAGGTTTTAAGAAAGTCTGTGAGTTGTTTTGTGTGAGTGTGTCTGTATGTGTACATGTGTGCATGTGTTGTCACAGACATGTCAGCCTTTGCAGGAAATACACATTTCCTTTGTACCTACTCATTTTCTTGATCAGTATTTGGAATCCTTTCATCTTCCTTCATAGTTTAAGGAAAAGGATTGTTAGTGACTAGAGTTTAATTTTATGGTCATCACCAGAAAATAGGCTTCAGACAGGTGGAGTCATATAAGGCAGCAGAGATACTGGTTAAAAGCACAGATTTTAGAACCAGTCTTCCTATGAGATACCACTTACTTGGTGATACCGGTAGCTTACTTGGTGATACCGCTTGCCTGTTGATATAACTTATTGGCTCTGTGACCTTCAGCTGATTCCTGTGGTCTCTGTGCTGTAGTTTTCTCATCTGTAAAATGAGGAAAATCATAGTGATTACTTCTTATGGTTGTTGTGAGTATTAAATTAATTGTTGCATAGAAAGACTAGAATAGTGGTTGATGCAAAGTAAGTGATATTTGAGGTTTTTGATTTTTAAAACCATTATGTTACTGGTAAATATTTTTTAGGGTCCATAATATTTTTTCAATTTTTTTTAGTATATGTTTTCAGCATGTAACGACTACCTTTGTTGTGTGGAGTTGATGCACTTTAATTCTTCTTCTCATCTTCTTGCCTTCCCTTTCCTCTCCACTTTCTCCATCTCTTGGTCTCTTCTGATTCCATGTGAATTTTAGGATTATTTTTTCCAGTTCTGTGAGGAATGCTGTTGGTATTATGATTGGGATTGCATTAAATCTGCATCTCAGTTTTGAAAGCATGGCTATGCTGACAATACTGGTACTGCCCATTCAGGAACAGCGGAAATCTTTCCATTCTCTGATGTCCTTTTCAATCTCCTTTTTTCAGAGTACTGGAGTTTTTTTTGTTTTTTTTTTCTATCTGGTACCCGGGATCAAACTCAGGACCTTGTGCTTGCGAGGCAGGCGTGGGTGCCACTGAGCTAAATCCCCCCCAGGGTACTGTAGTTTTCATTGTAGGCCTTTCAGTTGCTTGGTTAGGTTAAATCCTAAATATTTAATTTTTCTTGATGCTCTTGTGAATGGCATTATTTTCCTAATTTCTTTCTTGAGTGAGTTCATTATTGGTGTACAGGAATGCTGTAGATTTTTGTGTTGTTTTTGTATCCTGCTACCTTAAGGAATTTGATTATTAATTCTAGGAATATTTGGTAAAAATTTTTGGGTCTTCTATTCAGAGGATCATATTGTACGCAAATAATGATAATGATGCATTCATTTCCTATACATATCCCGTTTATTTCTTTCTATTGCCTAACTGCTCTAGCTAATGTTTCGAGTACTATATTTAAGAAGAATGGTGATACTGGATGTTTAGTCTTATACCTGATTTTAGAGGTTTTCCCCTATTTAATAGTATGCTGGCAGTAGGATTGTCATAAATAGCTTTTACTAGATTAAGATAAGGTCTTTTTTCTATATCTATTTTCAGGGTTTTCATGATGAATGGATGCTGGATTTTGTCGACAGCTTTTTCTGCATCTATTGAGATGACCATGTGATTTTTGTTCTTCTGTTTATGTGATATATTACATTTATTGATTTTCATATACTGAACTATCCCTGCATTCCCTTGATGAAGCCCATTTGGTCATAAGATGTGATCTTTTTGATGAATTTTTGCATTCTGTTTGCCAGTATCTTGTTGAGGACTTTTACATCTATGTTCATTAAAGAGATTGGCCTGTAGTTTTTTCTTGTGATTGGGCTCTTGTCTGGTTTTGGAATCAGGGTAATGCTAGCTTCAGGAATGACTTCAGGAGTACACTTTCCCTTTAAATTTCACGAAAGAGTTTGAGGAGTATTGACGTTACATCTTCCCTGAAGTTCTTGTATAATCAGGTGTGAATGCACTGGGTCTTGGGCTTTTCTTAGTTGGTACTTTTTAAAAAAAAAATCACTGATTCAGTTTCATTGTGTGTTATTGGTTTATTCAAGGTTTTTACATCATCTTAGCTCAGTTTTGGTAATTCATAAGAATCTATCCGTTTCTTCTGAATTCTCCAATTTATTGGCATTCAGGTTTTCCAAGTAGTTACTAATAATCTGGATTTCAGAGATGTCCATTATGATTTCATCTTTTTCATTTCTAGTGTATTGATTTGGGTCTTTTCTTTCCTTTTTTTTGGTAAGATTGGCTAAGGGTTTGTCTATTTTGTTTATTCTTTTGAAGAACCAGCTCTTTGATTTATTGATTCTATTTTTTTGGCCACATTTCATTAATTTCTGCTCTTACTTTTAAATTTCCTTCCTTGTATTAGCATTGGATTTGGATTGTTTTTGTTTTCCTAGGATCTTGAGGTACATCACTGGGTTATTTATTTGGGCTTGCTTTGTTTTTCCGATGTGGGCATTCATAGTGATAAACTTCTCTTTTAGGACTGCTTTCATGTGTTCAATAAATGGGTGTGTTTACTGGCATTACTGTTTGATTTTAAGAACTATCTAATTTCTTCCTTGATGTGATTGGTAAATATTTTGTAAAAGGATAATGTCAACAAATTCCTTTCTTTTTGTGAACGTGCAGTTTTTTTGGTATAAGGATCTCGGAATCTTGTCAGGGAACAACAAACATGAATTACACCTAGAAATCTGGTATTTCCCTGGGACAAGGTTGATCCAGTCTGGGCTCTGTCTGGTTCTCCTGTGAGCTGCAGGTTGGGCTTATGCCAGTTTGTCTTATGACAAAGCCCTGGAATGCAAGAAGGCCCTTGCTTAGTTATACTTGCCGAAATAATATGACCAAGGCCATGGTCAGCTGTACCTGTCTGACTGTACTGCAGTCGCCTGGAAGGAGGGGCTGGGGAGGGAAGAACTGAGAACCTTCTCAAGAATCGGGACTGACATCATGTGGAATTCTCGATAATAATGTTGAACTTTAGATTAACGCATCTCCCATGGATATTGGGTGGATTAAACTAACCGTTCCATTACCATTTACTGTTCACTATAGAGAACACAGTTTAACCCATCAAAAATAAAACAGTAAAAAATTGCACGTACAATATTGTGTTTTAATGTCATCTTATTGAAAATTGTTGATGTACTAAAATGTCCAGATTTGTTGACTAGAATTAAAATGATCTTGACCTACAAAATGAAAGAATGAAATACCTAGACTGTAAACTCAAACATCTTGGAGACGATGCAGGTGATGAGGTCTGTGACGCCATTTGCCATAAGGAACTGCTGGTAGGAGGACTGTGTTGACTGTACGTGTTCTTCCTAAAGGCATTCAGATACGGTGTTTGTGTTGAGTACCATACCGAGTAACTGCACCATCAGTGAGTGACACTTGATTAAACACTTGTTACTCAAAAAGAAGAAAAAAATGACTACTAAAGTTTTTCACTGCCCTCCAATAATAGAAAGCATTTATATTCTGTGTATTAGAAAAATTCTGCTGTATTGTTGGTCATGAAGCTTTTAATGTATTTCAGATTGAGGAGGTTCCAGGAGAGTTCACCCAGGATGACTTAGCAGAGGATGACGTTATGCTACTAGATGCTTGGGAACAGGTAGGAACCACACTGTTTGTAATGAGAAAATGAGCTTGTGGCTGGGAACTGACAGAACCTGCTTTGAGATATGACAGGTCTAACAATAAACAGGCTCAGATTTAGGCTGTATTCAAAAGAAACATTTACAGGGCAAGTTGATTTCTTGCTGCAGAAACAATTCCACTGCTACTATCTTTGGTTCTATAGTCTTAGACAAAAAATGTTCTGTTCTTCATTTATTTGTAAAATGTACTCACCTGACTTACTCATACATTCATTTTATTAATGTGTACATTAATAGGTACATTTTATGAGGGAGACTAAATTATTGCAAACTTCTTCTGACATTTGACAAGAGGTTATTGGGATCCCACCCCCGGGGAAGAAGCAGGCATAAGTAGGTTTGAATCTGAACAGTTAAATATGTTACTGTTTTATACTTCTTCATCTAGGTGAACATCAGTGGTGATTTGACATAACACATCTGGTAGCTTTTAAAAAATCTCTTTGTAAACTAACAATAGCAAAAGGGAAAAACAAATATGTTAGGAATCAAATAATATAAAGCAAGTGTGAACTCCTTATCTGAATTAGACCTGGACTTAGAATCAGCACACAGACTATTGATTTTAAGGTCTGTTTCTAGTTGAATCTTTATCTATTTTTTTGGTACCGGGGATCGAACTCTGGACCTTGCGCTTGTGAGGCAGGCGTCAGAACCACTGAGCTAAATCCCCAGCCCTTAGGGTCTGTTTCTAATGGCTAAATCATGTAAATTACACATCAGCCTTTTGGTCTATGATGATCATATTGAGGATCCAGTCTCAGCTTCTGAATATACTACATTTAATATCTTTTTTGTTTTGGTACCAGAGATCGAACTCGGGACCTTGCCGCTTGCAAGGCAGGGGCCAGAACCACTGAGCTAAATCCCCGGCCCACATTTAATATCTTTCAAGTCATACTTTTTATTTACATTATGCAGTCATGGTGTATTCTGTGTCCTGCAAACAAGCATTCCAACACTTCCAGTATGAATTAGAATACAACAGAAACTTAGTGTGAGCAAAATCGCTCAGCCAGTAAGTGATTTTAAAGTGACTTAAGTGTAAAATAATTCAAGAAAACTTCTCAGTGTTACAACATTCAGCCTTTCTGGGAATGGTGGCAAACACCTATAATCCCAGCACTCTGGGTGGCTGAGGCAGGAGAATCACAAGTTCAACTCCATAATGGGCAACTCAACAACTTAGCAAGACCCTGCTTCAAAGTAAAAAAAATTTAAAAAGGGCCAGGGATATAGCTCAGTGCAAAGGCTCTGGGTTCAATTCCCAGTACTGAAAAAAAAAATTTAACCCACACATTTGACAAAAAGAGGATACATATGGGATATATCTATATCTATATCTATATCTATATCACAGATTACATAATATATGTGAACTTTTTAATTTACTACTTTTATATTTAAATACTAAATATTATAGCAGTTTATCAAAGTTATACAGGGCACAATACCGCAGGAGAAGAGCACTGGACTTAAGTCAGAGATTCCTGAAGGGAGTCAGGGGCTTCCACAAGCAAGCTGTGTGTCTAGACGTGGTGCTCTCCAGCCTGACCTGCATCTAGGAAATGCAGGTGATAAGTACCTTACGCACTCCAGGTGGTGGATGTCCTGAAACGCCAATCTGTTCTTGAGAAACATCGCTTCATAAAGTAGAAAATGCCATGTCAACATAAAATGTGGCTGTGAAATCTGTAGTCAGACTGGCTGGGTATAAATTTAGTTATCTCTCGTGGGAATGAACACTTGGAAAGCAAGGGAACTGCTGTGGGCCCCCTGCTAACCTCCTTTCTTCTGGAATTGTTGTCAAAATGAAACGAGCCGGATGTAAAAGCATTTGGCACAGGGCCTAGCACTGAGACAACACTCCTAAAGCGGTACATATTGTTACTGTTTTGTTTTTCAGATATTTATTTGGATTGGCAAAGATGCCAATGAAGTTGAGAAAACAGAATCACTGAAGTCTGGTAAGCTAGATCCTGTGTGTAGTTATGGCAGTAACCTGTTTTTTTCACCATATCTCTCCAAAATATATATCAAAACCAAGAAGTAGCTTACCTGTCATCTTCAGAACTGAAGAGTAATGGAATCTTTTAAAACTGAAGAATTTCACAATGAGCACAAGAAAAATCTTTTTAAAATCTAATTTCGAATACATTTATTTCTAAAAAAATTTCAAGTTACTTACACCCTGTTTTGTCATGAAAATAGTAAAACTTTGATAACTATGATGACCTGGATATTTTTAAACTTCCTTTAAAGTAATACTGTTCTTTCTATTATGTTCTTTCTATAACAATCATGATCCCATAAGAATAATTTCATAAAACTTGAAATTTTATCAAGCAATAATGAGACTTTATAATGGTGCTTCTTATGGGAGATGAGATAAATCAACAAGAAATTATTTATATTTGGCTACTTGGGGACAATGAAAATTTAATTAGCAAATACAGAAAAATTTTCATTCTATAGTGACTTTGGTTTAACCAAAGCTAATTGAATTTATATGTTTGCAACTCTTTTTAGCCAAAATGTACCTTGAGACAGATCCTTCTGGAAGAGATAAGAAGACTCCAATTGTCATCATAAAACAGGGACATGAGCCACCCACATTCACAGGCTGGTTTCTGGGCTGGGATTCCAGTAGGTGGTAAATTGATTTTTGTTAAAAAATAAACAAGCGTTAGAGGCACATTAAAGGCAGTTGTCTCATTGCTGGTGGGGAGGGGGTGCTTTTTGTTTGTTTGGCTTTAGAAAATTAACCTCAGCCAAATGGCTATTTTTATGCCAAGTATTGGTTAAAATTCTTTTTAAAGGAAATTTTGTATGTTAATATATTGAAATAACCTAAAGTAAAGTTTTGTTAAGGGATAATATTAGCTGTTCTGAAAACAGGTTTATACCTTTTTATATGACCTTTTAAAAACAAAATGCTTTGTATTTTCTAGGGAATTTGTCAGGTAGGAAATTTTATAATTTAGCAAACCTTAGCCAGACTTGTTCTTTAATATGCCAGAGAAGAAAGCCATTGTACCTTTGAAGTTTTTCTCTTTCCTATGTATTGTCTTCAAAATAATTGTATATTTTCAGTAAGGTTTATGTTAAAATGGCTTTAAAAATGTGTTATTTGCTTTCTTTAGTCAATGTGACTTTGATACCATTAACTCCTAAGTGTCATCTTCCAAAAGAAACTTTCTCTTGTTGCTTTTTGAAGTCACAGCTCTTTCATGGTAAATTGTGTTCTTAGCAGTTTAGCTGTATGTATTTGACTGTACATGTTTACTATTACAGCAGATACACACAGAAAACTTTACTAATGCGCTTTCATCATTAAAATACATCTTTCTGAAAAGGTTTTGTGTTGTAACATTTTTTTCAAATTTCACATGCGTTGATTACTCTATTGATTCTTAGATCTAGAATGTCCTGCAGAAGTCTCATGTGCTCAGAGGCGGGGCTTTGGGAAGGTAGCTGGATCATGGGGACGCTCTTCTCATCGGTGGATTGATCCGTTTATAACTCAGTGTTCCATTAGGAAGTGGGCCTATTTGGGGTGTGCCTCTGGACAGTATACAGTATCTCCCTCCCCACCTCCTCCCCTCTCTCTTTGCTCCCTGGGTGCCACGAGGTGAGCCGTTTTCCTTAGTCACGCCCTTCCACCATGCCACTTCTGCCTTGATGCCATTGACCATGGACAAAAAACCCCCAAACCATGAGCCAAATTAAACTTTTTCTCCTTTAAGTTGTAGGTGTCAGGTATTTTGTCCCAGTGAAGGAAAGCTGACTAATGCAATGGTTAAATACTTTTATGCACAAATAGATGTGAATCTAATATTTCTTAAATTATTGTCATTAAAATTAAATAACTTTCCTATGGTTAGATAATTATGACAGATTTTAAATATCACTTGATGCATATGGAACATGGGCTCCAGACAGTAGGAGGCTGGGGTGGAATCTAGAGCTCCAGTAGAAACCAACTTTGGTAGTGGGTTGGGGGGAATCTGGCTGAGGAGAGCTGCACTTCCATGGAAAGGGGAACAGAACAGGGGAGAGGTCTGAGGAACTCTGACCATCTCTCTGGGGATGTGAGGGACAGGTGTTTTCACAGTGGTTCTGGCCTGGGGAAGGGGGACCTGTTCTACTATGGCTAATGGTAAATGACCTCATGAAGTCACAGGGCGAGTGAGGGTGGTGAGGAAACAGTAAGATGTCGAACTTCAGGTATTGTCCATTTCGCAAATGCTTATTACTCGGTATCAAGCACTATTGGTTCTTTGGATCCAATGTGAATGACCCAGACAAAAACTTCAACTTTCGTGAAGAGGCCAACAGAAACAAAATCAGGAAGTCAGCATGTTATAAAATATATTACAAGATAGGTCGTATGGAGGAGAAAATAGAGGGAAGGAGGTGAGAGAATACTAGGTGAAAAGGGGGATAGTGTGCAGTTTTAATAGGGTGACCAGCAGAGGCCTTGCCAAGTAGGTGATATTTATACAAAGAATCAACAGAGGTTAGGGAATGAAGGTCATGGTATTACCCAGGCAGAAAGAGGACCAAGTACTTACGGGCTCAAGGATAAGGAAGCAGGGGAATTCTGGAGGGGCCTGTCCTTCTGTCACAGTGGGACCAGAGGTAAATTCACCTCAAGCAGAACTGCCCTGCTAAGCTTGAGCTGTATGAAGACTGCTTTCCCAAAGCCAAAAGCCAGGGACTCAGAGGCAGGTATATAACGACAGAGGAAACAGTAGCAGCAGTGGCACAAGCCCTCTGAAAAGAAGGATTTATGGGCAGCTTAGTAATAAACTGAAAGCTGTCAGAGGGGAGAAGGGATACACAGGATTTATAGAAGTACCTCTAAAGGGCTAGCTAAGGTGTTGTTTTGATTTTATACTCAAAGCAGATATGGCTCAAAACAAATATCTGTGACACATGTAAAATTAGCATGAAGGAGAAAAATAATCTAAAAAGAAGAACATTTAGGGGATTTAAAATTTTAGGGCCAGGGATTTAGCTCAGTGGTTCCGCCACCTGCCTTCCAAGCGCAAGGACCCAAGTTCAATCCCCGGTACCAAAAAAACCCGACTTTAGTGAGATGAAATTCGTACGGCAGCCAGAGTCTCCCATGGAAAGAAAATTTTAGAGAATGTTCCATCGTTCTATGGTATTGGGTGGTAAAACTCAAATTATATGTAATTCTTCATAGCAATTTGTCTTTGGGATTTGAAATAGAGTTTTATACAGCTCAACTGATATACATAAACGTTTCTTGATTATTTTTGTATTATTCTTTGAGCCAATATTTATTAATTTTTAATATGAAACATTAGATTTCTTTCTTCTGTTTGTTTTTCCTCATATTTTGGGGGATAGAAAACCAAATGTTGGTCCACAGATACTAGTGTCTTACAGATTCTTCATTGTCACAAACAATACAGAATACTCATTTTGAGGTAAAATTTATGACTAGAACACAAAATAAACATTTATTCTTTAGTAAATTCAGAAAAATCCAGTGTCAACAAGAAATAATCTAGTGATGAGTAGCACATATTAGGATTCTCAGTAAGGCATCAGGTTATGGTATAACTTTGAGCAAAAGACCTAGAAACAAGGTACCTATGTAAAGTAAACCCTTGGTTTTTGGTGTTAACATATTATTTGCTTTGTTTTGCGAGGTGATCAACTAATTCTCAAGAATTTCTAGATTTTTCTAGGTTATTCATAGGGATGGCATTCTTGTCAAAAAGAAAGAAAAGAATACAGTATTAGTCATCAGTATTATTAATTTATTTAATAATCAGTATTATATACAGGGCTGATATGTATAGTTAAAAAATATACTTTGAAAACTTTTTTTCTTTTTTTCCTCCTTGACTTCTCCTCTTTTTAGTTTTAAAGACTTACATTAGATATTTTAAAAGTTTGTTATGTATTAAATGTATTTCCGAAAGTAATTTTGTGTTTTAAATAAATAAAAATAATAAAAATAAACCCATTTTTATTGTGCTATCTAAAATGTTAATGATGAAATATATTGGTGCCAAAAGAAGAAAAGTAAAAGATTGTATCTACATCTAATTATGTATACCTACAGACATCTTATGTGGTTCAAAAACGTAACTGGGAAAATGATAATTGTGGAAGAAAAGATGGAATTACATTGGGTCAGGAAATCATCTCCCACTGACTGATGTAATAAGAAAATCAGCAAGGATCTAGAAAACTTGAATAACTGAATGAACTTAACCTATGTGGTACTTACTGAACACTCCACCAATAACCACAACATACTTACTTGTTTTTTTAAGAGATGTTAGATATTCATCAAGACAAAATATTCTTGGCCAAAGAGTAACTGCCATCAAATTTAAAGCATAAAACCATATAAACTATAGTCTCTAATCACAATAGACTTAATGGAGAAATTAATAAGAGACTTATATGACCAGTTCTCAAATATTTGGGTAAAAGGAGAAACACATGAGAAATGAGAAAAATTTTCATCTCAGTGAAAATTAAAACAGCCTATCAGTGTATCAGATACAGCCAATTTAGTACTTAAAAGGAAATTTCTATCATTAAATGCTTACATTAGATAAATAGAAAGTCCCCAAATCAATGATCTAAGCCTCTCCCTTAAGAAATTAAAAGATAGGGCCCAGGATTTAGCTCAGCAGCATCTCACCTGCCTTGCAAGCACAAGGTCCTGAGTTCAATCCTTGGTACTGGGGAAAAAAATTTAAAAGATGAACAAATGAAATTTAAAGTAAGCAGAGAGAAAGGAATATTAGAGATAAAAATTTTTTAAGTAGAGAAAATTAAGCTGATTCTTCAAAATTAATACAATGCTAAAATTTTAGCCATACTAATAGAGAAAAAAGGGGAAGAAACAAATTGTTACCTTCGGGGATTAAAGAGAGGGTATCTCTACATATCTTACGGACGTTAAAGTAAATGAGAGGCACTAGGTTCAATCCCCAGCACCCAAAATAGATAAGAAACATATATTTTGTGTCAATAAATTGACATTAATGAAATGAGAAATTCCTTGGAAGACAAAAACTACTAAAGCTAACTCAAGGAACAGACAGATAACCCAAGTAGAAATATATAAAGACACTAGGGAAATTGAATTCAAACATCATTTGATAGGAAAAGTCTAGGCCAAATTGGGGTTCACTGGTGACTTCTATTTAGCGGTGTGGAGTAGGGTGAGTAAAAAGAATTGAGATGTGTTATGTACATGTACCAACTCCCCAGGATGAATGTAATCATTAGTTACTGCAGACATATACTAATAAAAACAATAAAAAACTAGTAAAACCACTATTCCTCAACATCGATGTAAAAATCCTAAATATTGAATTGAATTGAATCCAGCAATATATAAGAGTCAAATGGATCTTTTCCCAGGAATTCATTTTAACATTTAAAATTAATCAGTAATTCTCCATATTAATAAACTAAAGAGAAAAAAATCAAATAAACATCTGAACATGCAGAAAAACAATTGATAAAACTCAATCATTTATAATAATTTAAAAACTCATCAAACTAGTAATAGAATGGATGTTCTTTCACCTTGGGATATTTGCAAAAGTGTACAGCTGGCTGTACGCTTAACAGCAGAAAGCCAAATGTTCCCTGCTAAGTTCTGAAATAAGATATGGATGTTTGTTCTTTCCCTTCTATTCCATATTCTGCTGGAGAGCCTAGCTGGCCTATGAAGGTAGAGCTTCCTAGCTTCCTAGAAGACTGAGACCCTATTTGGATGACTCTTTATTTCAGGCAGGTTGCCCTGTGCATCATAGAATCTTTAGTAGTATTTCTGCCCTGTGTTTACTAGATCTGAGTGGTACTGCTTCACCCTACCTACCCCCAGCTGTGACAATCAAACATATCTTCAGATATTTCCACTTGGGTTTGAGGGTAAAGTGGAACCCAACTGCTCCCTGTGGTAGCCCACTTCAATGAAGCAAGAAAAGCAAACTAAAAGGTCCGAAGATTGGAAGGGAAGTAAATAATCTTGGTAAAGCCACCTAGGCATTAGTAGTCTTTAATAGTCCCAGGTGTTTGCTCTATGTAGTCAGGTTTGAGAGGTGTAGCCAGAGTCTTTGCAAGTCAAATATACCTTGTTCCAGTTCTCACCCAGGTTCGCTGCCAGGGAGCAGTCTTATATTATTTCCCTATGCAGGAACAGCCAAAAAACTATACCTATTTTGGTATGGTTTGAATCTTACATGTCCCTCAAGGGCTTATGTACTGATGGGTTGGTCCCTACGTGGGCACACTTTTGGGAAGTAGGAAAGTGGGGCTAGTGGAAGTGAGGCCATTGGTGGTATGTCC